CTTCATCCGCTGAACCATTTTACTTGTCTTTCATTCAAAATTTCAATACAACAGAAATGCAATTCAAAAATTCAGAGAGTTCTCATACTTATTTTTTCAATTACGAACATTTATAATTTTGCCAGGTGTAGCACTGGAAAGGAAGAGACAGGTGGATCTCTATGAATTGAGGTCACTATATATCAAGTTCCAGAACAGCTAGAGCTACATAATAGAGATCTTATCTCAAAAATAAATAAATAAATAAGAATAAAGATGTACTGTGTATTAGTGTTTGCCTGTATGTATGTACCACATTTGTGCCTTACACCCGACAAAGGTCGAAAGGGTACTGTATCCCCTGGAACTGGAGTTAGATGATTGAGAATCACTATGTAGGTGCTGGGAACCAAACCCAGGTCCTCTGCAAGAGCAACAAGTGTTCTTAACTACTATGCCATCTGTCCAGCCTCACTCACACTTACCTCTTTTAATACATTTAAAACTTTCCTTAAGGTGATAATGCTTTAAAAGCAAACTTGGGGGCTGGAGAAATGGCTTCCAGAGGACTCAAGTTTGGTTCTCAGCATCCACACGGCAGCTCACAACCACCTGCACCTCCAGTTCCAGGGGATCTGCTGCCTTCATCTGACCTCTGCAGGTACCAGGCACACATACATACAGACATATAAATAAAATAAATCTAAAATAAACAAAACCAACTTGGATCTTTCCACTAGTTCTTAATATTTTCATGCCAAAAACTATTAAAGGGACAAAGTAACTAGACAGCCCTTTTGAATCATTTTCCTCAGTGTATTTTATCAGAAAGCAGGGTCCTATCTATTTTTACCTCCTGCAGTGGAAGACCTGTCTGAAGCCATACCAAGATCCAGCCTTGCTTCTTATGAGGGAATGATGGGAGTGGTCTGGGCCAGGTTCCTTTCTAAGCTCTGCAGATAACTGCAAGTCTCATGGGAGGAGTAGGTAAAATAGTGTGTAGACAACCTTCACCTGACATCTAGTAAACATCTGCACATAACTACTGGCAACCACTAGTGTGAAATCAGAAATGAATGCAACCAGTCTACTAGACAAATGTAATACAGCCATTAAAATATCTAAAAAAAAAAAATCTAGCCCCTGAATAACTCAACAAAAACAAAACCTAATTCCCCAAGTTAACTCCATCAGAGAAGCATAGAGCTTTGGAATTCTTTAGGACCTTAACATAAAAAGCTAAGAAAGACCAGTTTAATCTTGCTAAAACTGAATTAAGAGCAATTTGCTCTTAAAAAAAAAAAAGACAAAAAAAAAAAACCCTTCACTGGCTCTTCATCTAACAGAAAGGCTAAACTGTGTACAACTTCATTGTGTCCTTCCAGAAATTTCAAATGTCTCCTCTCCCCATTAAGCTATCTCCTATCTGTCATGTTCCAAACACACAAGCCCGCCACCCCTCTCCCCATCCCCTCTGCTTCCTCCACCTGTGCTGCAGTTATCAACTAGCTCTTTAAGTCTCCTTTCTGACTCCACGCTCCTGAAGGGCAAAGAGGTCTGCACCATCCACACAGCAGTAAATCTAATAGTAAACCTTATCCATAAGGGCACAAAAATCCCTGGCGGTTAGACAGCAAAACGCTAATCTACAGAACATTATAAGGGACATTTTCATCTATATGTACACACCCCATGCCCGGGGACAGAACTCAGGGTCTTACTATGTATGCTATGTTACAGTTACCGAACAAGCACTTATCACTGCTACACCCCCAGCCTACATCATTTCACTTTCACTTCATTAAAAAATTAAGAGAGGTGGGTGTAGTAGGAGGGTGGAGAGATGGCTTAGCAGTTAAGAGCACTGACTGTCCGTCCAGAGAACCCACATGGTACCTCATAGCTGCTTGTAACTCCAGTTTCAGGGGATCCAACACCTTCATACAGACATATATGTAGGCAAAACATGAATGCACATGAAATAAAAATAAATAGATTTTTAAAAAATAAAGAGAGGAGTTGACATAGTAAGCTATTGGCTATGATCATCATTATGACATGTACGGAACACAAAACAGACTTCCAGACTCCAGGCTACACTATTGTCATTGCTTTCCTTCCTTCCTTCCTTCCTTCCTCTCTCTCTCTCTCTTTTTCTTTCTTTCTTTTGGTGTGTGTGTGGGTCTATGCAGCTAAGAATGACCTTATACTTCAGTGTCACCTTGCTGGGCGGTGATGGCATATGCCTTTAAACCCAGCACTTGGGAGGCAGAAACAGGCAGATCTCAGTGAGTTTGAGGCCAGAATGATTTACAGAGCAAGTTCTAGGACAGGTTCCAAAGCTACAGAGAAACCCTGTCTCAAAAAAAAAAAAAAAAAAAAAAAAACAAAAACTAAACAAACTTCAGATCCACCTCCTGAGAGCTGTGATTACAGACTTGCACAACCACACCTCAAATTCACAGAGATCCACCTGCCTCTGCCTCCCAAGTTCCGAGATTAAAGGTGTTAACACCATGCTCAGTATCTTAATCTCTTGAAGCAGATATTGCTATTTTCAAGTAAGATGGGCTCAGATGAAATTACCCATTTTTTTTGTTACCTATGCAGCAAAATCAAGGATTAGAAATTGGTTCTTCCTGGGTCTGGAGCCCTACTTTAGTAGTTTAGAATGGCAGAGCTCTTCCCAAGGACTCCCATTCAACTCCCAGCACACAAGTCGGTCAGTCTTTTTTTTTTTTCTCTCTCTCTCTCACATACACAATTAAGTTTAAGGGGGAAAAAAAGCCTAGAGTTGATTCTTTTTGCAGTTTATGTTACTGAAAAGCAAGTTCCAAAAATTAACTTGTTTTTCGAGACAGGGTTTCTCTGTGTAACCCTGGCTGTCCTGGACTCGCTTAGTAGATAGGGACAGCTTCAAATTCAGAGAGCCTCCTACCTCTACATCCAGGGTGCTGGGATAAAAGTGTTCGCCACCACTGCCTAGCCCAAAAATTAACTTTTAAGGGCAAGTATACCTATGTTAACTGCACAGAAACAAGTAGGTTCACATTTACTTACAACAAACTCCAAATTTAAGAGACAGTAATTCTAAACTCATTACCAAATCCTCAAGCCAGCTAGAACACAGCAGGGGCAACGAACAGTTCAAGGATGAGCTTTTTACATTAAAAACAAAAAAATTACAATGACTGCAGAATAACCACTAGTTCTGGAAATTTTCACAGAATTTCACGAGTTTGCACAATTAAAGCCATTTAAAAATAAAATATGTTAACATGGATCACTACAATGAACAACCCAACTTCAGCCTGTAAAATATGTAATCTGAAACTACTATCTCTGAGGAAACTGTCTTAAATATGCTGTTCTGGAATGCATGTGGAGTCTAGCAACCACTTTTAAAGTTTCATTTGCTCTTCTCTCTCTCTCTCAGCTTTCCCACTCAAAACCTAAATATCTTTATGAATCAAACTATTGAGTCAAGCTCTTTCCCACCAACCAAATCTTTGAGTGGTATCTCCATTATTAACTACATGAACAACCCAGTTTTTTTTAAAAAAAAAAAAAAAGAAAGAAAGAAAAAAAGGGGAAGAAAACCACCACACACTGGAATTTGGCTTTAAAAAAGTTAATTGTGGGGGGTGGAAGAAAAGGAGGGAGAGAGAAAGAGAGGGGAAAAAAGGAGAGGAGGGGGAGACGGGAATGAGAGAGGGAGAAAGTGGGAATGTACTTTTGGGCTTTATTCTTCAAAATTCACTTACAAGGTAAAACTTCATAACCATTTAGAAGTTACCAGGACATACAAGCAAAAGGGCATAAACGAACTTAGTATTTTACTTCCTTCTTCGTCCCATCCCTACCGCCGAATGATCATGTCCTGTCTGTCCTATACAGGCTCCCGGTTTCCAAGGCTAGAAAAAGGTATGTGTGGGGCCCACAATTTTATCCCACTAGGATTAAAAAAAAAAAAATCGGGTTGATGTGGCGAGCCACGGGAAACGGCAAACCGGTGGAGAAAGAGCAACAAAAAGGAGAAACCCATCCCAGAACGGGAGCCCTGGGAGCGCGCGCTCCTTCTGCCACTCTAGCTCTCGGAAATCAGAGAACTTAAACCAGGTAACAGCGCCCCAGCAACCGCAGGCGACGCCGGCTGCTAAGCCAGGCTTCCGGGCCCCTCAGGGGTGTGACAAGGGGACCAGACTGGCAGTGACAGACTCCGGGTGCCGCCAAGGACAGAGGCGCGCTCCGGTCACCCCGGCCTAGCTCGGGTGGGTGGGGCGGGCCCGGGCGGTCCGCGGCCCCGCAGAGACGAGGGAACCCGCTCACTTTTGAAGAAGCGCAGCGCCAGGCCAAACAGCTCCTCCAGGCCGAAGCCCCAGTGCTGCTCCATCCGCCGTGCCTCCTCGGCCGCGCCCTCAGCCGCCGCCGCCACCCCGGGCTCCGGCTGCTGCCCCGCT